GTTCTGGGTTTGAGCCTGCCACTTTTGGACTCTCGCTTGCTGAGGTGTTCCAGCGAGTGTCTCTGTAGATCTTAGAAAACTATTTCTTGATTTAAGTCGTTGACGTGCTGGCTGATGCCCAAACAGGGGATGAGCTGGAAATGTCTCTGCCTTGGTCCTTTCACTATTGGCTGCCACTTCCCAGCGGATGTCAGATGGTGCAATACCGCCTAAGCAGTGCAATTTATCCAGTTGTGTAGGGCGCAGACACCCCTTGATAATGCGGCATGTCTCATTAAGAGCCACATCCACTGTTTTAGCGTGGTGAGATGTGTTCCACACTGGGCATGCATACTCAGCAGCAGAGTAGCATAGCACAAGGGCACAGCACCCAGTGTGCCGATTATTATTATTTATTTACTTACTTCACTTGTATACCGCTCTTCTCAGCCATCAGGCGACTCAGAGCGGTTAACAACCAGTATCAGCAACACAGTACAAAATAATTAGTCATTTAAAACAGTAGTATCAATTAATTAACATCAAAAACATCAATGCAACAATACAGCAAAACAACAATCCATCACGTCTCATCAATAGAATCAGCATCCAATCTCATTGTCCATTAATCCATATTCCAGTAAACAATCAATTGCAATGTTTAGTTAAAAGCCTGTTCGAAGAGCCAGGTCTTCACTCTCTTCCGGAATGCCAATAAGGAGGGGGCCGATCTAATATCTGTAGGAAGGGCGTTCCACAGCCGGGGGGCCACCACTGAGAAGGCCCTGTCTCTCGTCCCCGCCAGGCATGCTTGTGAGGCAGGCAGGACGGAGAGCAGGGCCTCCCCAGAAAATCTTAATGTCCTAACTGGTTCATAGGAGGAGATGCGTTCGGACAGATAGGTTGGGCCAGAACCGTTTAGGGCTTTAAAGGCTAAAGCCAGCACTTTGAATTGTGCCCGGTAGCAAACTGGCAGCCAGTGGAGCTGGCGCAACAGAGGAGTTGTATGCTCCCTGAGTGCCGCTCCTGTTAGCATCCTGGCTGCCGATCGTTGGACCATTTGAAGCTTCCGAGCAGTCTTCAGAGGCAACCCCACATAGAGAGCGTTGCAGTAGTCTATACGGGATGTAACCAGAACGTGGACTACCGTGGCCAAGTCAGACTTCCCAAGGTACCACTGGGACCACCTTTAGTATTATTACTTGATACACAACAAGATTGGTACACAGCAGACAAGTCCACTATGCTGGCTTTTGTATTGGATGACTCGTTGGACACTTCCCAAGTGTCTAGGACTGTGTGATGGATCGGCGAATAATGTGTGCAGATTCCAGTAAGGTGGCCTTCTGCAGCTGGCAGGTGGTAATTTGGTCAGCGCTGATTGTTTTTAAGTGCAAGCCAAGGTCTTTAGGTACTGCACCCAGTGTGCCCATCACCACTGGGACCACCTTGTCAGGCTTGTGCCAGAGTCTATTATTATATTTATATTTCTAGTTATTATTGTTATGATTATTATTTGATACACAACAAGATTGGTACACAGCAGACAAGTCCACTATGCTGGCTTTTGTATTGCATGACCCGTCAGACACTTCCCAAGTCTTCCAGGAGCATAGTTTGCATTTCCTTTTAGTTGCATGGGATAGTGTTCTTTTGCATTTTCCCAGGGCTGCTACAGACCCAGCAGCACCCTGGAAGTTAAACAGTATCATTGAGATAGATAGATAGATAGATAGATAGATAGATAGATAGATAGATAGATAGATAGATAGATAGATAGATAGATAGGCAATTGAGATATGATTGAGTAATGTTGGGTCTAATTGAGATAGATAGGTAGCAAGTAAGCAATTGAGTCATAGATAGATATTGAGCTATTGAATATTATTGAGCAGTACTTTATCTCCAAAGCTAACCTTGAGCTATAGACAGGGGGAAAACCTGTTTTTTTCTAACCATAGCAGCTCAGGGTTAGGGTGAAAGGATCCCAGGATATTTTCTACCATTTGGGGAAGAGTTACCTCAGAAGGAAAGAGAAAGAAAGATCATCTCTATGGTTTCACCAATTGACTGTTTTATTTGTAACTTTGACAAGCTGTGCCAAGTCTGCAAGGACTTTGAGGAATAAAAATTCTGTTTTGATGTTCCAAACCTGAAGTGGCCTCAGTTGCTGCGAATTTTTGAGCTTCTAAAGAAAGACCCCCGCGGTCCGCCCAGACAAAGAGAGAAGCACATCTTAGTTTTAATTTTATAGGATCTGGGTGTGACGGCACAAGGACTGTGCGATGTATTGGCGAATAATGCATGCAGATCCGAGTAGGGTGGCCTTTTGCAGCTGACAGATGATAATTTTGTCAGCACCGATTGGCTGCAGGCCAAGGTCTTTAGGCACTGCACCCAGTGTGCCGATCACCTTTGCTGGCTTGTGCCAGAGTCTTTCCACTTCGATCTTTAAATCCTCATATTGTGTGAGCTTATTATTATTATATATTTTCCTGCAAAACTTCAGGATGTACAAACACAAGGGGGGAAAGGTCTTTTTGTTTTTTCTGGCAGTGGTAGAGCATTGCTGTAGTCATTCTTCCCCGCATGTGAGGATGAAATGGTTAATGTATTTAATCCATCCTCTCTCTAAATATCCCAACCTCTCCAAGACACAGAGCTTGGAAAAGTTCCATTTTTTGGAGGACAAGTTCCGACGTCTCTCTGCCATGATCCCTAAAATGCAAAGGGACTTTCCGCAACCTCTCCTTGTATTTCCTGGCTACATAACGGTGAGTTACTTAAATACCCTGTTTTCTTTCTCTGTGTCTTTTTACCTGGAAGGTCGGTTGGTTTGCACGCGCCTGCCTTCGACCTCTAATGCCTGCTCTGGGAAGGTGTTCATCATCGCATCCCAACACAGATCATTCTCATCCTTCTCTCCCCCCCCCCCCTTTCTCTGTGAGATAAGGTGCCAACTGCAGCATTGGCAAGGCCTGGTTCCTCACCCACCCGCAGTGTGTTTACCTCCCAAGGAGAGATGAATAATCCCAATATTTTTGCAACACGGAGATGCCCTCCCCACCTCTCCCTTTGCAGCCTCGCGCGTGGGCTCAGGTGGGGCTGAGAGCAAGGAAAATTGCAAGTCTGGAACAGGTCTGCTTGCAAAAGCATCCCTCGGCAGAGATATAACGCTCATAGGTCTCTTTATTTCTCAATGTTTGCGCTTTACAGCAGCGTTTCTCAACCTGGGGGTCACAAGAGGAATAATAATAATAATAATAATAATAATAATAATAATAATAATACTTTATTTATATACCGCACCATCTCCCCGAGGGGACTCAGAGCGGTTCCCAAGTAACATCACAAAACATACAGAGTAAAAACAACATAACCATAAGATTAACAAACAAAATATAAGCAAAAAGACCATAAAAAACACAGTATTATCTGTTGGTCATGGGGGTTCTGTGTGGGAAGTTTGACCCAATTCTATCGTCGGTGGGGTTCAGAATGCTCTTTGATTGTAAGTGAACTATAAATCCCAGCAACTACAACTCCCAAACTCTACAACGCAAGGCCTATTTTACGCAAACTCCACCAGTATTCACATTTGGGCATATTGAGTACTCGTGCCAAGTTTGCTCCAGATCCATCATTGTTTGAGTCCACAGTGCTCTCTGGATGTAAGTGAACTGCAACTCCCAAACTCTACAACTCAAGGCCTATTTTCCCTGACGAGGACCACGTTCTGTCTGGAAACCAATGTCCTCACTACAGAAGAACATGAGGATCAAGAATCGGATTCCAAAGCCACCTATGAATCCACCACCAAGACAATACACTTGGAGGACCATCATCCTCGGGCTACAAGGGATCGACTGTGGCATAGACACCAAGAACAGGGAAGCCCTGGCCCTTGAGTGTTCTAGCTGGAGGTCAACTGTGACCAGCAGTGCTGCAGAATGGAGGACGAAAGGGAGAAACATGCCAAGAGGAAGGCGCATCAAGCCAACCCTGACCAAGACCACCTTCTGTCTGGAAACCAATGTCCTCACTGTGGGAGAAGATGCAGATCAAGAATAGGGCTCCAAAGCCACCTACGTATCCACCACCAAGACAATACACTTGGATGACCATCATCCTCAGGCTACAAGGGATTGCCTAAGTAAGTAAGTAAGTAAGGACTAGATGGCTCATGTGGTCTCTTCCAACTCTATGATTCTATGATTCGATGACTAGTTCTATGAGCAGATATGAGAGTGTGATGAAATGAGAAGATAAGGGCTTCTTCCATTGCTGTTAACCCTCTCTCTGTTTCCCTCCTTCCTTTGCAGCCTTGAAGGAGCTGTTTTTATTATTATTGCAGCTCACAGATGGTAATTTTGTCAGCGGTGATTGTTTTTAAGTGCAGGACAAGGTCTTCAGGCACTGCACCCAGTGTGCCGATCACCACTGGGACCACCTTGACTGGCTTGTGCAGCTCGATCTTTAAATCCTCGAATCATTATTATTTTTGCAGCTGACAGATGGTAATTTTTGTCAGCGGCGATTGTTTTTAAGTGCAGGCCAAGGACTTGAGGCACCGCACCCAGTGTGCCCATCACCACTGGGACCACCTTGACTGGCTTGTGCAGCTCGATCTTTAAATCCTCCAATCATTATTATTTTGCCAGCTGACAGTTGGTAATTTTGTCAGCGGCAATTATTTTTAAGTGCAGGCCAAGGACTTGAGGCACTGCACCCAGTGTGCCGGTCACCACTGGGACCACCTTGACTGGCTTGTGCCAGAGCCTTTGCAGCTCGATCTTTAAATCCTCGAATCATTATTATTTTGGCAGCTGACAGACGGTAATTTTGTCAGTGGCAATTATTTTTAAGTGCAGGCCAAGGACTTGAGGGACTTCACCCAGTGTGCCGATCACCACTGGGACCACCTTGACTGGCTTGTGCAGCTCGATCTTTAAATCCTTGAGTCATTATTATTTTCTTCCATTGCTGTTAACCCTCTCTCTGTTTCTCTCCTTCCTTTGCAGCCTTGAAGGAGCTGTTTTGGCCTCCCCGGTGGTAATATGGCGAAGGAGAACTCGGCTTTCTCCGCCATCCCCGAGACCCCGGTGTCCGAATCCAAAGTGGCCCTCCCCCCTTCCCGTCAGCTGAAGCCGGCCCTGGCACGGCGCTTGGGCGAGGAGCCGGAGAAGGCCGAGAAGAAGCGGGGCCGGCAGCGGTACGTGGAGAAGGACGGCAAGTGCAACGTCCAGCACGGGAACGTCCGAGAGACTTACCGCTACCTCACCGACATCTTCACCACCTTGGTGGACCTGAAGTGGCGTTTCAGCCTCCTCGTCTTCGTCCTGGCGTACGCCATCACCTGGCTCTTCTTCGGACTCATCTGGTGGTTCATTGCTTACTGTCGTGGAGATCTTGACCACCTCGGAGACGATGCCTGGACACCCTGTGTCAACAACCTCAACGGCTTCGTCTCGGCCTTCCTCTTCTCCATCGAGACGGAAACCACCATCGGCTACGGCCACCGGGTCATCACGGACAAGTGCCCTGAGGGCATCATTCTGCTCCTTCTCCAGGCCATCTTGGGCTCCATGGTCAACGCCTTCATGGTGGGTTGCATGTTTGTCAAGATCTCCCAGCCCAACAAGCGGGCCGAGACGCTGGTCTTCTCCACCCATGCCGTCATCTCGCTACGGGATGACCGGCTTTGCCTCATGTTCCGGGTGGGGGACCTGCGCAACTCCCACATCGTTGAGGCCTCGATCCGGGCCAAACTGATCAAGTCCAAGCAGACCCAGGAAGGGGAGTTCATCCCCCTCAACCAGACGGACATCAACGTGGGCTTCGAGACCGGCGATGACCGTCTTTTCCTGGTCTCGCCCCTCATCATCAGCCACGAAATCAATGAGCACAGCCCCTTCTGGGAGGTCTCCAAGGACCAGCTCCAGAAGGACGAATTTGAGATCGTGGTCATCCTTGAAGGGATGGTGGAGGCCACAGGTAGGTTGACGTTTGGTGGGAAGCATCAAGAACTTCACCACCAACACAAAAGCTCACATATGAACCTACAACCCTCTGGTGTTTCCTCTATTATATGGAATGCTTTTATGTCTCCTTTGGGAAAGATAAAGTGGGTATTATTATTATTATTATTATTATTATTATTATTATTATTATTTGAAACACAACAAGACGAGTCCACAGCAGACAAGATCACTCTGCTGGCTGTTGCATTGGATCACACGTCGGACATTTCCCAAGTGTCTAGGACTGTGTGATTCATTATTATTATTATTATTATTATTATTATTATTATTATTATTATTATCATTATTATTATTGGAAACGCAACAAGACGAGTCCACAGCAGACAAGATCACTCTGCTGGCTGTTGTATTGGATCACACGTCGGACACTTCCCAAGTGTCTAGGACTGTGTGATGTATCGGCAAATAATGCATGCAGATCCCAGTATGGAAGCCTTATTATTATTATTATTATTATTATTATTATTATTACTATTATTTGAAACACAGCAAGAAGAGTCCACAGCAGACAAGATAACTCTGCTGGATGTTGTATTGGATCACACATCGGACACTTTGAACTAATCTGATTTGATGTGTACTAATCTTGTTGCATATCTAATAATAATAATAATAATAATAATAATAATAATAATAGTAATAGGTTCCAGTGGTGATCAGTACCCTGAGTGCAGTGCCTAAAGACCTTGGTCTGCACTTAAATACAAGTGGCGCTGACAAAATTACCATCTGTCAGCTGCAAAAGGCCACCCTACTCAGATCTGCACGCATTACCCGCCAATATATCACATAGTCCTAGACATTTGGGAAGTGTCCAATGTGTGATCCAATACAAAAGCCAGCATAGCTGTGAACTAATCTGATATGATGTGTACTAACATGAACTGTTTCTTCACTATCAGGGAAATCCTTGACCTCTACCTCCTTCTTGGCCCTCCTTTCTTTTTCCTTTCCTTCTTTTCCTCCCTCCCTCCCTTCCCTCCTTCTTTCCCTTTCTTCATTTTGTTCCCCTTCATTCCTTCCCTCCCTCCCTCCTTTCTTCATCCCCCTCCTTCCTTTCCCTCCTTCCCTCCCTCCCTTCCTTTTTCCTTCCTTCCTGTCCCTCCTTCCTTCTTCCTTTCCTTCTTTCTATGTAAGATATAAATACAATATATTGTTAAATAGATTACTATATAATATGTTATATATTACTATAATATAATATAATTATATATATATACTATATTACTATATACTACTATAATATAATATTATATATTACTATAATATAATATAATATGTTATATTATTGTTAGATAGATTACTATTACTATTAATATATAGATTATATTATTGTTATATAGATTACTATATAATATGTTATATATATAACATATAGTCAAAGCCATGGTCTTCCCTGTAGTCACCTACGGATGTGAGAGCTGGACCTTAGGGAAGGCTGAGCGAAGGAAGATCGATGCTTTTGAGCTGTGGTGTTGGAGGAAAGTGCTGAGAGTGCCTTGGACTGTGAGAAGATCCAACCAGTCCATCCTCCAGGAAATAAAGCCTGACTGCTCACTGGAGGGAAGGAGACTAGAGACAAAGTTGAAGTACTTTGGCCACATCATGAGGAGACAGGAAAGCCTAGAGAAGACAATTATGCTGGGGAAAGTGGAAGGCAAAAGGAAGAGGGGCCGACCAAGGGCAAGATGGATGGATGGCATCCTTGAAGTGACTGGACTGACCTTGAGGGAGCTGGGGGTGGTAACGGCCGACAGGGAGGTCTGGCGTGGGCTGGTCCATGAGGTCACGAAGAGTCGGAGACGACTGAACGAATGAACAACAACAATGTTATATATATAATTGCTATGCAATACAAATTAAATGGAAGGGACAGTCAAGAAGTAACGAGAGAAGGAGGGAAAGAGGGAAGGAATGAAGGGGGGAAGGAAGGAAGGAAGGAGGGAGGGAAAGAAGAAAGGAAAGAAAGATAGATAGAGAAGGATGGAGAGAAGAAAATACAAAAGTGAAAGGAAAAAGACAGGGAAGGAAGGAAGGAGAGGAGGAAGGATGTAACCAAAGAACAAAGAAAGGGGGATAGAAACAGGTAGAAATGGAAGAAAGAAGAAGAGAAATAGGAAGGGAAAGAAATAGTGGAAAGGAAGGAAAGAGGGAAGGAAAGAAAGAAAGGGGGAGGGAAGGTTGGCCACAGCAACGCGTGGTGGGTACAGCTAGTTTCATATATATTTTCTAATTCCTATTTCTAATATGGTTACGTCCAATATATTTTCCAATATGCGTATTACGTATTTCCATCATGACGTCATCACAATCAGTAAACCACAAGATTTTTTTTATCAGTCCAGGATTCTCCTTGTCAGGGTTTTCGAATACTCAAGAAACATGTCTTCAGCCCATTTTCTGCAATTTCGGGTGTGTTTTCAACAACTCTTTTCTCTCTCTTCAGGGATGACTTGCCAGGCCCGGAGCTCCTACTTGGTGGACGAAGTCCTCTGGGGCCACCGCTTCATGTCCGTCCTTTCCTTGGAGGACGGCTTCTACGAGGTGGACTACAACAGCTTCCACCTGACCTTCGAAGTCCCGACGCCCAGCTGCAGCGCCCAGGAACTGTCTGAGGCCGCAGCCCGGATGGACGCCCATCTCTACTGGTCCATTCCCAGCCAACTGGATGAGAAAGTGGAGGAAGGGACCGAGAAGGGGGGAGACGGGAACAAGGAGAGGAATGGAAACCTCACCAGCCCAGAGAGCGAGTCCAAGGTGTAATGGGGGCAAATAAGGGGCAAGAGAGATCCAAGACGGGGCACAAAGGGTCATGCCAATGGAGGGGAAGGTAGGCCAAAGCAAAGAGTAAATAGAAGCAAAGCGTAGCAAAGAGTGCTTTCGGATACGTGGCAGGGACAGCCATTGAGTGCTATTTCTGGAAGTCTATGCAACCAGAAATAGTATGGGAAAACAAAACATAGACACAGAGAGAGAGAGAAGGGTTGAGAGAGAAGTGCCATGGACCTGGGCAATAAATTAGTACATTGGAATGTGAAAAAAGAGCCAAACCATCGCTAAGGAATATATTGTTGTCATGTGCCTTTGTTTCCAATTTATGGTGACCCTATTGCAGGGTGTTCTTGGAGGAGGAGGATTTTGGCCTTCCTCGGAGATGGAGAAAATACAACTTGCAGAAACCGAGTGGGGATTTGGACCCTGGTTTCCAGAAACCAGAGTCCAACATTCAAAATACTACATCACGTTGGGTCTTGCGACTGGAGAACAGGATGTTTGAGATTTGCTGTATTGGGGTACAAGGAACTTTTCCGAGTTCTGTTTCAAAGGCTGGGGGAGAAAAGAAGAAAGAGTGAGAGGGATATGAGGGGCGTTCATTAAAGATGTCCCCTGACCACTTCCTGAGGATGGAGAGCAATGAAACTTGGCCCAATTCTGAGTCTGCATAGGTGCCACCTTGGGACACACACTTCTGCCATCTTTTGAAGCAACTGTAAACACCTCGCTTGTAGAAATCAACAGTTTGCTTCAAAAGCCACTTTGTGACTTTGGAAATTAGAGTCTCATCACCTGAAAAATGCTTGCCCTTCAAAAATAACTTCATTGTTGGAAAGAGATGGAAGTAAAATGGTGTGAGTTTGGGTGAATAATGGCGATGCAGTAGAATGTCAATGCTTCTTCCATTTGGGCAACAGTTGAGTTGTGGATGTTGCACTCCAGGACAGGAATAACCCTCTGACTTTAAAAAACCACACGTCGAGTAGGGAAAAATAATCCTTTTATTGAAGATAAGTAAAAGCAGCAAATACTTTAAAGGACTAGGTAAATCCAATTAGGTAAGAAGATAAGCAGGAACAAATCAGTCCAAGGTAGAGTTCAGCAAAGTCCAAAAACAAAGTACACACTTCTCTAACAAAATCCAAAGAAGCAGGAAAGTTGATCCAAGGCATGAGCATGTAATCACAAGAGACAAAAAGCCAAACCAAGAAACAAGAAATACTTAAGCATGAATCTTCCAACCACAACTTCCATGAAACAAGGACAGGAACTGAGCAGGATTCTAAACAATGCTTCATCTGGCTATATTTCCCATGCTTGGAACTTTTATCCCCTCGTTAAGTCATTCCAAGCACTCAGGAACTGGTTTCGCTTTTCTTGAGTGGCCTTTATCTTTTTATGTCAGAGCCTGGCAGAACGCCGAAGGCATTGCTCGACCTGTCTGTTTTGACTAATTTCCGCCCGCCTATCTATATGCTCATTAGTTTCTGCGGGTGCCAAGTTGTTTTCAAGCCCCAAATCCTGGGAACTCTCTGGGAGCAATTCAGAGAGCAAACCATCATCCCTATACCCTGAAGGAACATTCTCTTGGGAAACTACACTTTGAACAGGTGTCATAGAATCATAGAATTATAGAGTTGGAAGAGACCTCGTGGCCCATCCAGTCCAACCCCATTCTGCCAAGAAGCAGGAATATTGCATTCAGAGCACCCCTGACAGATGGCCATCCAGCCTCTGTTTAAAAGCTTCCAAAGAAGGAGCCTCCACCATACTCCGGGGCAGAGAGTTTCACTGCTGAACGGTTCTTCCTCATGTTCAGATGGAATCTCCTTTCTTGTAGTTTGAAGCCATTGTTCCATTGCGTCCTAGTCTCCAAGGAAGCAGAAAACAAGCTTGCTCCCTCCTCCCTGTGACTTCCTCTCACATATTTATACATGGCTATCATATCTCCTCTCAGCCTTTTCTTCTTCAGGCTAAACATGCCCAGCTCTTTAAGCCGCTCTTCATAGAGCTTGTTCTCCAGTCCCTTGATCATTTTAGTCGCCCTCCTCTGGACACTCTGTCATTCTCTGCATCAATATCACTGATCAAACCATTGCCATCTTGAGCCTCATTTACATCATCCCCCACATCCAAAGAACCCTGATCCTGAAACACAATCTCAGGCTGAACAGTGAACTGGTGCATTGTCTTGCAGAAGGCGGATATCTTAGGTGAGCATGCCACATTGTCTCTTTGTTTTGATGACCTCCCGCAATTTCTGCAGCAGTGAAGCCTAGTGTGCCCCAGTGATCATAGCACCCTCTGCTAGGAAATCCATCAATCCTACTCCGTGCTGGTCCCAAAATACTGTGAGCATGACCTTGCCTGCTGAGAGTTGGGCACGTGCCTTCTTTGGAGGCGGTGAGTCAGGATGCTGCCATTGCATCGACTGGACTTGAGTCTCAGGATCAGAGTGATGGACCCAGCTTTCCTCCTGTGTGATCGGTCTGTGGAAAATGTCATCCTGCTTTCTGTTGCAACTCAGGGTAGTTTCACTTTGCTCAGAACACCACACCACACCAAGGCTGAAGATTTTGTGGTTTATTGAAGAAAAAGCAAAGTCTTTAACATAAAAGTAAAGCTTCAAAAGTCCAATGGCAAAAGCAGAGTCTTAAATGCAAAGGCAATGTTTCCAAAGTTCAATGGCAAACAACATGAAGCATAATCCAAACGCATTGATCAAACAAGATTCCATGGCAGCATGACAGAGTCCCAAGGAGCCAAGAACAAGACAAAGTCCCAAGAAGCCAAGAGCATTGCCCAAAAGCCAAGGCAATCCAGAGAAGTTACCAGGGTGTTTGCAGAAGTTGCACTGACAAAGAGTTGACTTCAAACAGCTCGTTTAATATACTTTCCCAGCATGAACACATTCCTTTGACCTCTAACTTCTCTCTTGTTAGCAAGCCTCGCACTGCGGCGAACCCTGAATTGCAAGTGATCCTCCCTATCCAAATCTGCAGAGCCTTCAAGGTCGGATAACTCATTACCCTGAGAATCAGCAGGCTGAGAGCTCGCCTCCTCCACCTGCACCTAAGAAGTTTCCCTAAGATCAGAAACACCTTCCAAAACATCCCTTGCCATGGGAAACTGAAACTCCTCATCTTCAGTATCAACAACGGGAACATGTTCAGGAATCTGAAACCCCTCATCTTCTTCCTGGGGCTCCAGCTGAGCCACAACACTTTCCATGCCACATCGTTGTCAATAGAGCCGGAGAGCTTTAGACTTATTCGTTCTTACTTCTGGAAAGGTGTGAGCACCCAATGAGCGGATACCTTCTGCAGGTGAAGATGGTCTTGGGTGATTTTTTTCCACAGACCCCACACTCATCTTGACATTTTGGGCTCGGTGGCAAATGGTTATGCGGCGATTTTCCAAAATGGCGACCTCCACTTGTAGGATGGTGTGTTCATCAATAGCAGAGTGGGGTCACCCTGGAATTGGAGCTGTTTCCACCAAAGTTCAACCACAATGGAATGGACAATGCCAGTTCTTGACTCAATGATATGATGGGGAACCATCACCATAAATCTTTCATCTCATCGAACATCTTCTTTGGTGTGCAGACTTTCAAGGAAAGGAACTTGAAGACTGCTCTGTATTCCACTAGGTCCATTCTCAAAACTCACACCACTTCAGCACCTGTAGAATCAAGACCGTTCTTCGATCTGAGTTGTCAATTGGCACGTAACCTATGGAGACTTATATCATTACACATGTGCAGTTTCGGCGTTCTATGATAAATAGAAGTGGGTCAGGGGAAGCCTTTAATGAACACCCCTCGTATTACAAAATGAGAAATGTTGGCCAAGGGGGTACCAAAGGCTCAAAGGAACATGTTCTTGTCATATTTGTGATGCCTCTTAGCCTTTTTTCTGCCAAGTTGCCCCTTAGGATGCCCACAAATGCACGCATACGCATTGCTAATTTTTCTTTCTCTCGCTCTCTCATGCACACACGCATGCACACACTTTCTTGCTGCTTCCCTGAAATGATTGGGAATTATGTCAAAGGAATAGAATCACAGAGTTGGAAGAGATCTTGTGGTCCATCCAGTCCAGCCCCATTCGGCCAAGAAGCAGGAAAATCACATTCAAAGCAGCCCCGACAGATAGTCATCCAGCCTTTGCTTAAAAGCCTCCAAAGAAGGAGCCTCCACCACATTCCGGGGCAGAGAGTTCCACTGCTGAACAGCTCTCACAATCAGGAACTTCTTCCTAATGTTCAGGTGGAATCTCCTTTCCACGTCCTAGTCTCCAAGGCTGCTCCCTCCTCCCTATGACACCCCTCACATATTTATACATAGCTAACATTTCTCCTCTCAGCCTCTAAACATGTCCAGCTCTTTAAGCCACTCCTCATAGGGCTTGTTCTCCAGACCCTTGATCATTTGAGTCATCCTCCTCTGGACACATTCCAGGTTGTCAACATCTCCCTTCAATTGTGGTGCCCAGAATTGGACGCAGTATTCCAGATGAATAGTTTGCCTTGGTCTTTTACAAACTAGCAGGGGGGGAGAGAGAGGCATCCAGGGATGGCCATCAGTGTAGTGAGAAAGGACCCTTTGCCGTAGGCTTCTGTGTCCATGAACTTTCAAGTTTTCTACTCAAAGTGAGCTAAATCTAATTGGGAGACAGGACCCAGCAGCTCCAAGAGCGCCTTCCAAGTTTGGACAGAAACCCAAACTGCGGACTCGCTCCTCCTCTGACTTGGGAGCCCCATCCCTGCCTGCCCGTTGCCACTGCAGCTTTGGGACTACAAGTCCCAGAATCCACCCCCCCCAGCCAAAGGGTACTTTTCAGAAGGGTGGTCTGGCTCCGGTGGCTGGCTGGCATCTTCTCAAGTGGCATCACCAGACTTGCATGTGCCCGATCCTGTTCTCCCCCTCTCAATCCGTCCCTGACAATTCTGTATTTAAATTGACGAATAAAGCATTTTGGTCCACTTTCCTTGCTCTTGGTTCTGTGTCTCTGAAACCTACTTTGGCTCATTTCCAGAGTCCATCCGTCTTAGTCACTTAGACAGGACAATGGTCCCGGTGCCAAGTCCAGATTGACCGGCTAACTGGATTGAATGAGGGATTGCATTCATCAACCATTTGGTGAATGCCCAGGAGGGCCATTGACTCCAAGGCAATCAAATCAACAGGAACCCAAGCATTAATATTGAGTGAAAAGTAATGCCTCCACCTTCGTTACTTGGGTTTGGGTGGGAATATTTTAATAAACCAAACGCAGAAATAATCCT